AAGAATCTACAGTTTTAAAAAATATTTCAGTGATGGAGTTTTTTCAGAGAGGAAGGGAGAGGGAGAGAGTGATAGAAATATCAATGAGAGAGAACCATTGATCGGCTACTTCCTGCACGCCCCCTACTGGGGATCAAGCCCGCAACCTGGGCATGTGCTCTGACCAGGAATTGAACCGTGACCTCCTGGCTCATAAATTAATGCTCAACCACTGAGCCATGCCAGTCGGACTAGGGTCCCCTTTTCTCCACATCCTTGCCAGCAATTGTAGTTTTCTTTTTTACCTGTTTGCCATTCTGACAGGTGTGGAGTACTATATCGTTGTTTTAATTCGCATCTATCTGATGATTAGTGACTTGGAGCATTTTTTCATATGTCTCTTGGCCATCTGTATGTCCTCTTTGGAGAAGTACATTGGTTTCTAAATTTAAAACCAAGCCTTACTTTTATGAAGGGGTTGTATTCTGAAGGCTTTAATGCAATGGATGAGGACTTGGCTTTCTAAATCTACATATTGGTTTATAATATGAAAGAAAATAAAGGAAGTTCCATCAAGATTTCCTAACCTTGGCACTAACACAGAATACTCATAAAATTGTAAAGAAAGTGCAGTGTTCTTAGAATCCTCCAAGTTTTTATTTCAGGTGTAACCTTTAATGGGTTTCTCAAAATGTATGACCTCACATCATTGTACCTGAGATGATTTGAAGTGACACTCAAATGAAACATTGACTAACAGTTATCAAAATGTGACTTTAAAATTAAAAACATGATTTTATACAACTAGAGAATGAACTTACGTCAAAGATTTTCAAATCACTGGTGAGAGAAATAGCAGAGAAAGTAGTTCAAAGAGCATTTCAAGATTCAGGTTTTCCTACAATGCAATAGACCTATGACCTTCGGGGTTATCTTTTCTACAAGATAGAAATCATTTGCATTTCTATTAAACACAAAAATCTGCAAGTTAACATGAAACTTCATAGAATCTGAGCCCTTAGTCAGTAGTAGATGGGAAAGTCAAACACAAGGACATTCTCTTTGAGAATTAAACAGTCCTTGTGGGTCTGTGTAACAGTCCTCCAGTAGGCACCGAAAGAACTTGCAATCCACCCTTCGTCTTATTTCCAAGTTTTATATAATTTTTCTTTAAATGTAGTCCTTTATCAATTATTTTTTAATTCTAATTAGTCAAGGAAGAAAATGCTACTATGTTGTTGTTTTTTTCACAGTTAAGGTACAATGTACATGTAATAAGATTTAAAATGTGTACACATTGATGAGTTTTGGCATATGGTTGTATAAACCAACACCAAAATCAAGACATAGAACATTACTCCAAGAAGTTACCTTCTGCCCCTTTGCACTCAGTCACCTTGCCCCACTCCCAACCTCAGGTAACCACGGTACGATGCTTTTGGTCACGATGTTTTACCTTTTCTAACATCTCGGATACTAGTAAGTGAAATTCTGAGTAGGCTTTTATGTCTGGCTTCTTTCACTTACTATGATGTTTTTGAGACTCACCCATATTGCATATATTAGTAGTTCCATTTTATTGCAGAATAGTAGTCTATTGTGTGAATATACCATAATTTGTTTATCCAGTCACCATTTCATGAACATTTAGGTTGTTTCCAGTTTTTGACTCTTGAATAATGCTGTTGTGAACGCAAGGGTTTTATTGTTTGGAAGTAACAAGTGCTTTGGAGAAATATATGGGACTTATACCCCTAACATTAAATTTCTGTTGTCAGGGAAAAAGGAGAAGCCAAAGAAGTTCACTAAACAACCAAAAAAGCAGATGTCTTCACCCTGTGGTCAGAGGAAAGAAAAGACACCGGAGAAGGTAATTCTAAATTATATACTACTAATCTAAAGTTCATATTGAGAAATAAGCAAGTATAGCCAGGGAAATCTGAAAAAGAAGAGAAGCAAATATTCATAATGGAATGCTAGTAGTGTAAAATGAATAAATTATTGTAAAGACTGAGATTAATTAAATATCTCTAAGATGTATTGACAGGTGAAAAAAGGAAAGTGCAAAATAGCATGTAGAGTGGTATATTATGCTACCATTTGTGTAGTATAGGTGAAAGAATATATATGAATATATTGAATGTAAATAAAATATCTCTCGAGCCCTAGCCAGTTTGGCTCACTGGATAGAACATCGGCCTGTGGACTGAAGGGTCCCAGGTTCAATTCCGGTCAAGGAAACATGCCCAAGGTTGCGGGTTCGGTCCCCAGTGGAGGGCGTGCAGTGATGATTCCCCCTCAGCATTGATGTTTCTCTCTCTTCCTCTCTGAAATCAATAAAAATATATTTTTAAAATGTTATATATATATATCAAGCTACATAAGTACTTGATAAGATTGGTTGCCTCTAAGGAGTGGAACTGAATGTCTGGGGGCAAAGGCTTTTTACCGTGTGTGCTGTTTGTAACTTTTAAATTTTGAACTAATATTATTCAAAAATAAAATAAATAAATAGACTTTAAAATGAAATAAAATAAATAGATTTTAAATGCCCATCAGCAGATGAGTGGATTAAAAAACGGTGGTATGGCTACACAATGGAATACTATGCTGCTGTATAAAAGAAAACGCTTACCATTTGCAACAGCACGGATGGACCTGGAGAGCATTATGCTAAGTGAAATAAGCCAGACAGAGAAAGATAAATATCACATGATCTCATTTGTGGAATATGGTGAGTTTCAACAATAAAGAATTTAAAAAAAATAAAAATGTTATGTAACTATGACCACCTTGTTGTTCTTTAAAAAGGGAAATAAACATAATGTTACTACAAAAAAAAAATTTTATTTATTTATTTATTTTTTTAAATATATTTTATTGAGTTTTTACAGAGAGGAAAGGAGAGAGATAGAGAGTTAGAAACATCGATGAGAGAGAAACATCGACCAGCTGCCTCCTGCACATTCCCCACTGGGGACGTGCCCGCAACCAAGGCACATGCCCCCAACCGGAATCGAACCTGGGACCTCTCAGTCCGCAGGCCGACGCTCCATCCACTGAGCCAAACCGGTTTTGGCACAAAAAAAATTTTTTAAATAAATTATAGAAGATGGGGCAAACAGAGGTTTATAGTTGTGAGTACCTGAAGCACAGAGTTTATTCTTGTATTATTTATTAATTGTATTGTTTCCCGTACAAGAAACTGTATATCTACGTTTGCCCCATCATGTATTTTACGTTATTTTAAAATAATTCTTATTTCCCCATGTCATCAAAGAAAGGGGTGAAAAGCCAGGTGGGAATAAGAGGACAGTATAAACCACAGTTGGCTAAAAGAAAAGCCCTGGATTCCAAAATGTGTGAAAGCTGGGGTTGAGAGAAGTACCACACAATTGCATTGGGTGGGTTGTACATTCATCTTTGTGCTAATTACTATAGGCACATAAATGGGTGAATTATAAAAGATTGCATAAGCTGGGGCTTCCAGATCAAACAAATAAAGCCGGGTTCAAATTCCAGGTTTGTTTCTCTTTGGATACAATTCTTAATTTTTATAAACCTGTTTTATTATAGAGACTAGAGGCCTGGTGCATGAAATTCGTGTGTGTGTGTGTGGGGGGGGGTGACCCTCAGCCTGGCCTGCACCCTCTCCAGTCTGGGACCCCTTGGGGGATGTCTGACTGCCGGTTTAGGCCCAATCTCAAAGACCGGGAGTCGGACATCCCTCTCACAATCCAGGACTGCTGGCTTCTAACCACTTGCCTGCCTGCCTGCCTGCCTGATCGGCCTCTAACTACTCCCCTGCCAGCCCAATCGCCCCCAACTGCCCTCCCCTGCAGGCCTGGTTGCCCACAACTGCCCTCCCCTGCCAGCCTGATCATCCCAATTGCCCTGCCCTACAGGCCTGGTCACAACTGCCCTCCCCTGCAGGCCTGGTTGCCTGCCCTCCCCTGCAGGCCTGGTTGCCCACAACTGCCCTCCCCTGCAGACCTGGTTGCCCACAACTGCCCTCCCCTGCCAGCCATCCTGTGGTGACCATCTTCTGGCAGCCATCTTGTGACAACATTGCGGTGGCCATCTTGTGATGACGTCACACGATGCCACCTAGGCTTTTATTATATAGGATAATAATAACATCTGTCTCACATGGTTGTTGTAAGGCTTAAATGAAATAATTGTAATGCTCTCGGTACAGTATTTTGCACTCATTAAATATAAACTTTTATTACTATAGCACTAATCAGTCAATATGTTCTAATTGGGCTTTACTGTTGTCTACTTTTTTTTTAGTCAACTTCTAGAGATGTGTCTCCTTTCCTGTGAGTATTGCTCCTGAATCCAGTCAAATATTCACTCTGAAAGCACCAGTGCTGACTTTGGTTTAACTTTTCACTAGTGTGAGTATGCAGAAGAATAAGTGGGATGTCACAAGATCCTTGAGATTCAACCAGGATGCACAAAGAGAAGATGGTAAGTTTTATTACTTGTGTAATATGCGAGTTAGGTATAATTAACAATAATAGGAATCTTTTATGTTATGAAGTATGCTGAATAGCTTTAAAGGTTTTAACTGGAATAAGGCTCAGAATTAAAACATTCCTTAGACATCAACCAGAGTTTCATTACTAGACTGCCCTCTATTTTATGCACGTGTATGGTTTTAAGGTCTCTCAGACTGACTTTTGCTCACTACTTTCACTCTAAAGATGACAGAATATGGTTTAGGCTGATTTATAGTAATCTTAAAAGCATGAAAATTTATCCATGTATGAGCCATTTTTCCACTTGTAGTCTAAAATTCTTCAATGATAATTAGGCTGTAGGTAGTCTGTAAAACATTTTCATAAATACTTGATTGCAATCTTTTTTAAGAAATAAAAGTTATAAATCACGCTTATAAAAAGTAAGATTTATTATTTTTTACCTTCAGATCAGCGACGGATGTCTGAGATTACAGGGCACCTTATAAAGATGAGATTGGGTGATCTGGACCGAGTCAAGTCAAAGGAATCAAAAGAAGTAAGAATTATGAACTAGTGCCCTATGCTTGCTTAGATATGCCTTCCTACTTTCTGTTCATCATGAGGAATATAAAGATGTTTTAGAAATAATTTTAAGAGAATGATTTAAATATTTTTATATTCTATACCAGTTAGCCAATTCATTCACGTAAAAGTTTTCTGCTACCGCTTATTGTCTGTGGTTCATAGGCCCTCTATAACACATATAATAAAGTGCATTGTCACTGGATGTGTGATGTCACACCAACAGAGGCTAACGATGCATTGCTGACCAGATGCTGACTGTCCAGAGGGTGACTTTTAAGAAGTTGCTCATTTGATCAACTCTGCTTTCAGTGCTTAGATGTTATCTCTAAAATAAGATACTATCTTGCTGAAAATGATGACTAGAAATACCTGTGTTCTTGCTAGAATTATATATTAACCATACATTATGTATTACCACAGTATTGGTAATGTTTAGTTATAATTACTCTTGCTATGTTTTTTTTAATTTTTTTTTTATATTTTATTGATTTTTTACAGAGAGGAAGGGAGAGGGAGAGAGAAATATCAGTAATGAGAGAGAATCATTGATGGGCTGCCTTCTGCACGCCCTCTGCTGGGGATCGAGCCCACAACCTGGATATGTGCTCTTCACTGGAATCGAACCAGGAACCCTTCATTTCGCAGGCCAAGGGTCTCTATCCGTGGAGCCAAAC